AGCATAATGTCCTCCAGAGTCACCCATTTCGAGTAATCTTGCATGAGTTTCTTGTTTTTCAATGCAGCATAGTATTCCATTGTGTGAATATACCACAGCTTCTCCATCCATTCGTATGTTGATAGGCATTTAGGTTGCTTCTAACTCTTTGCTATTGTGAACAAAACCACAATAAACATGGGTGTACATATATCTGCCTTGGTGGTAGTTATGGTTTCTTTAGGGTTTATGGTTTCCCAGTAGAGGAATTGCTGGGTCAAATGGTATTTCTATTTGTAACTTTTTGAGAAGGTGAGAAGCTAACATTTTAAGAGCATTATTATGTTGAAACTAAATTTTAGATTTGGTATTTAAAGGCCCATTTTCAATGGAAAAATAACTCAATGCTTGAAAGAAATGCGGGACCTAATAAATGAAGACAGGTGTAAATGAAAACTGTGAACATTGTGGTCATTTACATTGTAAAAGATAAAAACATACATTTCAGAGTTGGGCTTAGGAATAGCACATCCATGTCCTTCAAACCAAGACAGCCAACAAAGATGTGTGTGATGTGAGCAGGACCTAGCAGAGGTTGTAGGACCTCACACACCAGCAAATAGATTGGCTGAACATATAATATACACTGACATATTTTTAAGTTTTAAAAGGAGTGACAGTTCTGAGACATGTTACAAGATGCATGCACCTGGTATGTCCTCGATAGGAAAAGGGAGTTGTCTGCAGGCATGACTGCTGTTAACATGAGTTCTGTATTTGTCTGTCATCCCTGGTGTATATGCTGAGTATTCTCCATCCATAGAGATAGGATTAAGCAGAAAGAGACCTGAAAAATCACAATTTACAAAGAGTTGATCCTTCTTCATGTCACAGATCCATGGGGAACAGTCCACTTTGGACTCCTGAGAAGAAGAACTCTTTTTACTCTTAAGGGTATTTGCCTGTTCTGTGGTTACAGCAGACGCAGCCCTCACTGAAATCCTCGATAGTTGGAGAAAGCAGAATCCTTACCGTCAAGCACGGGGCTGCTGACTGAAAGGTTCCCTGCTGTGCTGGAGCCCATGGTGGAGGCCAGTGCTCACCCAGCTCATTGAGGGTCTCCCTGCTTTTCACTGACCCTTTACCTTTCCTTGCATGCTGTTCTTCTGCAGGAATCGGCCCCCCCTGACAACATGCCCACAGTGTGTGAGCCGAAGTTCCACTCCCCTCACCTCCATGGAGCATTCTGATTGCCATTCCTTCATAACAGATGTGTTTGTTCTTTTGGAAATCTATGTAATTTCCATGTTTTTGATCGTTATTAATTTTTCATACTTGACTTGATGGTACCTAACAACAACAACAATAACTAAGTTGTTTCTGACGCATAGAAACTCTCCTTCCCCCAAAGTAGTCACTGGTGGATTTGAACTACTAGAGAAGCTCGGTCTTGGGTTAGCAAAACAACAAGAGTTCTTGTATGGGCCAAGAATATCAATCAGGGTGGGCTGTTCGCTTTATCTTGTACCCAGGTCCAGTGCTCTCCACGTCCTGCAGTGCCAGCCCTTTAGCACCCTTCTGGGCCCTGCACAGCCCTTGCCGGGTGAGCAGGTTGCTGGGCAGGCTGGCTCTGGATGCGGCAGGCAGGCGGCCGCGCTTAGAGCATTTCTCGATTGAATCTGCCCGGGGTGTAACGCTGCTTGGCGCCGCAGGCTGATCCATCCTCTTGCTCTCTGGGGCAGTGATGTTGAGCAACTCCGCGCCAGGGCCTTTGGCCCACGAGGCCGGCTCTGCACAGCTAACATTGCAACAGACATCCCTGCAAGAAGACCAAGAGAACATCAACCCAGAAAATGTGGCGCTGATCCAGCAACCCCGGACTCGAGCCCGCCTGGCAGGGTCTAGCACCACAGCAGAAGCCGAAGACACGACGGGCTGCGCCTCTTAAGGATATTTCTGTAAATGATGAGCATGTTTTTGTACCTTCCTGGAAAGCAAACAATAAACAGCCTCCATTCACCATTCACATGGATGAAGCAGAAGAAAAGACTCAAAGAAGACCAGCTGAATCTAAAAAAA